TTTTAATTAACAAATAAAATAAAGGAGTTGATCATAGAAGGTTGAAAATTAAGGGTTGTATAATACCTTTGTATGTTGTATCATTAAATAAAAAAAAAAATTCAAAAAAAAAAATGATAAATTTAGGGGGATTAAAAAAAGATGTTTTCCGATTCCCATACCTAAAATTCACACAAAATTTCACGAAAATCGGTCGAGTCATTTCGGAGGAGTTTAATTACAAACACCGTGACACGAGAATTTTATATATTAGATATTTGAGACATAAGTGATAACCAGTGGTACCTATAACCTTTATGTTGTTCTGTATCTGTTTCATGATTTTTTTAATAAGGGGCCGTTCAAGTATTACGAAGCACTATAGGAAGGAGGTGGGTCTTTGATTTTCTTATTTGGTGAATACGTCAACCGTAATTATTTAGTTTTTTAGACCTTGTTTATGCCTGAAAACAAAATGCATTTTCGAGGATTCGTATAAAAAATTAATATAGGTATGTACTATTATTTTTGAGCGCTTTGCTTACTTTTGCTGACAAGAGGAAGGGGGGGGGGGAGAAATTGCAGTAAATCTGCTTACGTAATACTTGATTAATAACAGCCCGTTTATAGTATTTTTGTAGCGATTTTTGGGTAAATTATATATAAAACTAAAGCATTTTCTCACGTTTTCATTTACCGTATGAACGTGTGTTTTTTTTTATGCGCCTAAAAAGTACAGTGGCCCTGAACTCGTGGCCTCAGGATTGAGTCACAAGCCTTAAGCCAACATTACTCAGAACAGGGACAGAAATATGTATAAGTACTAAAGTTTTCAGCGCCCTCTAGGCATAATGTTTGGAACCCGTCTGAAATAAAAATATATTTCTGGAAATAATTTACTCATTTCTATGCTATGCTTGATAAAGCGCTACAACCTTTTTAGCTCTGGGCCTCAGATTTCGGTATTTGTTTCATGATCCCCCCGATTTTTTGGGTCTAAAGCAAGCTGGTTTCCTCGCGATGTTTTCCTTCACCGTTCGAGGGAATAAAAAACGCACATAGAAAGAAAGTCCATTAATGGACAGCAGGGATCGAACCTACGACCTCAGTGATGAGAATATTTTTTTTATATGTAAATTACTAGCTACATTTCATAATTCTTGTAAATAAATTCAAGTTCGAAATTGAGGATTTAATAAATTTATAAATATTCCAGGACCAAGAAGAGTTAGAGAAGAGAGAACGAGAAAAAATTGAGACACGTGTCTATGGTAATTGGAGGAGGCTCATTAAAGGCCTCTTTATTAAAGAGAGGCTTAAAGCTAAATATGGATTTGAAGAGCCGAGTACATCAGATAATAAGAAACGTAAAGGACCGCGATTCGTTACTTCTAAGAAGGTTTAATTTTATAAATTTTTGTGATAAAATCACAGTAAAATTAATTTTAAGATTTTTCGCTTATTTTTGATATAGCTTAGTAAGAGCTGGTATTCTCTTAGTATTATTTTGTCACGGGTAACACTCTCATACACAATTCGATAGTACATGCCTGGGTATTTTTAATGGTAAATATGTAAACTTCACAAAAAAAAAATACACGTCCAGTTATAACCTCCTCATTGGGTTTAACTTGCCATATAGATTGAATGTTATATTAAATTAATATTAATTCCATACATTAGTAGTAGCACATAGTTTAAGAGCCTCACCGAGACCCCATGGCGACGTCGCCAGTTGTTCGCACGTCTTTGTGTGCTCCGTCACTCACTAAGTCGCCAACCAGTTGCCGAATTAGCGCAGCTTAGCACTTTTTTGCTTTTTCATAGTCTCTGAATTATGTTTTTTACTTTATTATCCCGAAAGACATTTTTAGTAAGGCTCCTGCTCTCCTTATTATATAATATTTTACATAAAAAATGATTTTAAAATTTGATTTAAAATGATTAAATAAATTAATAATTATTATTTAATTGATAATATTATTATAATTTATTTTTGATTTTTAAGTCGAGACAGAACTAAATGCGTTGGCGACGCGATTTGGTGACACAGTCTGGCGACGCAGAGACGCCAGACGTTACCATCGTGCCAGGTAACGTCGCTGGCCACGTCGCCATAGCGTCTCGGTTAGGTATGGCCCTTACACTACACCTGTTTGAAAAATAAGTCATAGCTAGTAAATTGTTGTTTCTTTTTTTGCCTTATGACAAAAAAGGTTGTATCTCGAAACACAATGATACTGGCCACTTACATTTGAATAAAAGAATTACTGCGTTATTTTTTCAATCCTTAATATTTTAATCGAAATATCCTTGTGTCACCACTAGTATAAACTACCGAAATCGAAATTCTATGCGAATAACTCGAGCATTTTTTAAAACGGCGTATATAAAAACTAATGATGAAAATGTATTTATTAATTTGAATTAAAAATATTGGCAGCATGAAGCATGTAATGTATGGACAGTCATATTCCTAGTAGAATAATTATTTGCCAGTTATGAGTTCGTTTCAGCCTGTTGACGTCCAACATAGGACATAGGCCTCTCCCCTTAATTTGCAAGCAACCTGCCAAACGACGAAACGACAATTTTTGGAGATTATTGACCCCCCCATGTAACGCGCCGTAACGTTTTTCTTTACCCAAGTATAGTAAAACGTTTCGTGACCACCTCGTGACTCTTTATGCCCAAAAGTTACCGAGAGTTTAGAGTTGATCATTCGGCCTTATCTCTAACATTATTCTATAATTTTTACACCCATCTAGAAAGGCATGTCATATAGGAAGCAAGTATATTTGCAGCCAGTTCTTTTAATTCTTATCGTAAACAAGTTGTCTGTTATAAGTCCCTTTTTATAGATTTTAAAAGCTACCTCAACTGTTTAGAAGGGTTAACGCCATCTACTGGTCAAAATTTGTATAGTTATAAGGTGTTATATTAATTTTTAAGGTTTTGTCGAACAATTTGCATGGCTATACATTTTTAAAAATATTATGTATGCAATTGTAATTATTATGTTTTTTAAATCAGAATTTCTGGCTGGAACTTTTAACTTGTGTTCTGTATTTCATATTCTCTAATAAATTATACAAAAGAAATACACGACACGGTTTTTTCTTTAATATTTAAGTATATATCATGATAATTTTTACTTAAAAATGGTCTATCCAAACAGAAAACCAAATAAAAAATATACAGAACAACATCAAAAAAACAAATGAATATGTATGTTTTTTGGCAGCGTTCCCACCGTTCCTTCGCCATATTATTATTATTTTATTGATTGATGAGCATTTTTATTACAAAAAATCCTTGAATTTTTCTAGAAAAATCTCAAGTGTATTGTTCTTATCAGCATGTTCCTGAACTAAATTTGGTTTCTAAGTCAATTTGAATTTATGATCATTATTTCGGAGATGAAACAATATGTATGTAAATTTGAAATATTGTGATTTTAATTATGTACCTGTGATTTTTAATAAAATGTTTTGATTTTTTTCTTTTATTGTATAATTTCTATATATTCCTGAGAATAAATGAAGTAACACTCTCTTTATTTGGTCTCTGATTCCTATATTTGTGTCTTGATTTTTTTTTTCTGTGCCTGACACATGTCCATTTTTGGATCTAAAGCTGCTTTAGTAAGGCGTGTTTCCTCACAATGTTTTCCTTTACCATACCAGCCATTAAAATTCCATTTGTGCATAGCTGTTATTCGACTTTAGTTCCGAGAGTCGCACGCTCCAACCGCTGGAGCGACACTGATAGATGAAGTACTTCTATGTATTGATTTAGTTCAAGTAATACGTAAGCACCATTGGGGTTGGGGGATGTCTTTGATTTTCTTATTTGATGATTACGTCAACAGTAATTATTTTATTTTTTACACATTGTCTATGCTTAAAAACGAAATGCAGTTTCAAGGATTCCAACAAAAAATTAATACGTTTATGTACTATTATTTATGAGAGCTTTGCTTACTTTTGCTGACAAGATGAGAGGATATAAATAGCAGAAAATCTACTTATGTAATACTTGAACGGCCCCTTATAGGGAATAAATCCAGAATTTGAACAAGAAAACAATAATCACTGGATGAAAAAGACTTATGGAGGCGATTATTTCGATTACAATATGGAAATACTCGGACCAAATCCGCAGTTAAAACAATATTTTTTTTTAATTATTTACGCATTTTAATTTAAATTTGTTTATTTGATGAGGAAAGTCTTATTTACTACAAGTATCCCGTTTAGTGAGTAACGCTCGTGGCGTATGGTCCTGTGTTTCGTTTTACGCAACAATTGTTTTGCTATAGTAAGAACACCTTAAAATTGTATTTATGGGTAAAATAAAAAGTCATTTTAAAAGCGATTTTATTTAATAAAAATGATACAATGATTTCGCTTAGTAATTGCAATAAGCTGTCTTAACTCATATCTTACATAAAAAGTGCAAAAGCTTCAAGCGGTTGTTAGATCTAGCACAACTTATTGCCGTATTATATAGATTATGTACAAAATCTTGGTACAGAAAGTTGATAGTGATGATGCGCTTCAGATCTGCCGAGATCTGGTCGGTCGAAATTGCTAAAGCAATCATAGCCACGTACAGGATAGTTTAATTACCTCAATAATTGAAGTAACACAATGCCACTGAATTTTTTTTAATTTTTTAATATTTATGATTATAAAATAAATTTTGTACACTTATCTCTGTAATCTATATCTATGCATTTTACATTAATATTTTATGACGAATATAAACCAAGGGCCCAAACATTCATCACAGTTTATGCTTAAATGAAAGGAATGTAACCTTGTTTAAATTTTATCATAAAATATTTGTTCTTACATTATAAAATACATAATTATATCTATTTATTAGTCTCATATTTATCAACCATGATTAAAACCAGTTTAGTCCATGGTATGATAGGTAGCAACATGACCCAGATTGAATTCCTTTCATGCTACCGTTCACACTTAAACCCTATAAAGTCCAGCTTCATAGTTCAACTAAGCCATGGTCAATGTGCCTGCTCCTATTCCGAAACCCACTCCTTTGGGTCCGTAGTTACGTCCGTAGCAGCCGCGGCAGTAGATTTCACCATTGGGCCCGTCGTTCAAATTCGTCGAATCCTTAAAAAGAATACATGTTGTTAATAACATTTCTCTAGCCAGAATTAGGATATTGATGTTCTGGGTAGCTCTTCAATGCTCATCGTATATAGTTACTTCACATGTAAGTTGATAAAGGTTTCTGACAATAGTTCATAGTTGCAATGGGACCTGCCAAAATTTTTATTGCATTTTGCGGTAATTTTCGAAATATGTAGTGGACTTTAGAATAGTACATGCTGTTGCTATACACAAAAACAAATATGCCATCCAATAGAGCTATTCCTGTAATTGACAACTGACGTTTTCTTATCTGAGTTCTGACAGTTTATACCCTCTGTCGTGACTCGTTTTAAGTGATTTGTTTTCAAAATTGCAATGAATATTTGCGTTTAATAGAGTTTTAATTGAATGCATACTAACAATTAGGCAAAAATGATGTGTTCATATTTAACAGTGGCTTTTGCAGTACTTTTAATACACAGTAGTAAGGGGGAAATATCAAGTGAAGATTGTTCATCTTTGGGATTTATTAAATCGAATCTACTGTGTTCCTCTTGTGATCAGTTAAAAGATTTCAGTTTGGACCAATTAGTTGAACACTGCAAGCAATGTTGTCACCAAGATGAATCGGCGCCTAAGGAGAAAAAGTACGCGCGAGCGATACTTGAAGTTTGTACGTGTAAATTCCCGGCGTATCCACAAATCCAGGCATTTGTTAAAAGTGATAGACCGGCCAAATTCCCTAATCTACAAATTAAGTATGTACGAGGCTTAGACCCAATTATTAAATTGTTAGACAAAGATGGTATAGTCAAGGATACAGTTGCTATAGAAAAATGGAATACTGACTCTGTAGAAGAATTCTTGAATACTCATTTAGTTAAAGAAGATGATGATGATAGAGGATTTTTAAAGACAAATCTAATTTAATTGTCATTAAATAGTTTACATACATTTTAAGTGTTTTATTTCAATCAATAGTACAAGTTTAGGGCTCTCTTGCATTGCATTAGACAAAAGTTAACTATTTGCTAACTATAAAAATTATACTTAGCTAATATTTGTTACATAGTAATATCAGGCAGTAAGTACTTACAAGAGATCTATGGCAGTCTGCACATGAGAAGCACCGTTTGTGCCATGTGCCATTCTTTGAGTTCATTTGTTCAGCAGCATACACTGGGAATCCACAGCGGAGGCAGCCTTTTCCTTTTGCGGCTTTAGGTCCAGTGAATGGTACTTGTTCAGTGCTGTAATATAGCAGACATGTTAATATATGTTTAAAAACTTAACTGTTATAGGATTTGTCTGGTTCTTTAACTTTATTATTCTAGTTTATTTTAGTAAATGTTTTAATTGAAATTTGTAACATGAGAAGTCACTTAACCACTGAGGCATGATGCAGAGGGCTTTCTAAATTTGTGCAGGTGAATGGCATATCTGTTACTCGTAGTCTTAATTTGACAATTATATCTTAGCCTGGAATTAAACCCTTCATCTACGGGTTTATAGCTTATGTTGAGGGAAATGCTACATTATGTACATATATATATTTTAAAAAAAGTGTGCGTCTACTTATGTACGTGCGTCAGAAGTTATACTTCTTCGGCATTATTGAAAAATAGTTTTTGATTGCTGCAAATAATTAATTACAATTAAATAATCAAAGACTGGAAAAGGAGTCATTATAGTCAATAAAGTTCAGTTTACATTTGATAAATGAAATAAATAAATATTTATTATTATTCTCTTACATTAAGTGTAACATAAATTCTATTATTATTCGAATGTTGTTTTTAAATTATGTCCAATGCCGTAGCATCCTCCGTGGGCAACTTCATACTGATAATTTTGTGTCACGGTGCGCGCGCCTCGTAAAATTTCACTCTCATCAATTTTTTCATAACGCGCCTAAAGAAGTATAACTTCAATAAAATTCATATAACTTTTACTTACTATGTCGTGGTGGGTTCAGAGTCGGTGGATACAAGGGTGGGTGAGTGGCCATAACCGAATCCCTTAGGTCCAAAAAGTTTAGCGTAGCATGACCGACAGTGGATTTCCTTGTCTGGTCCATCGCATGCTAGCATGGAATCAAGTGGGCGATGACATTCCGCGCAGTTGAAGCATTTTTTGTGCCACATCTGAGATAAAAGTGATAGATATTACTAATTGTAATAGTCAAAACTAATGAGAATAACATTCTTATTCCCAACATATTTGTGAAAACAAAACTACTCCTTGCTTTAAGTATAAATTAAACTTTATCAAAATTGGTTTTAATAATATAAGTGTTCTTTGAGGCCTTCCCAACATTTTTCCTTAAATTTAGGGCAATTCCAATTCCAATTAGGGCGTTACCATATTAACGGAATTATCGGAATAAATGATAAATTAATTTCATGCGCAAATAAAAGGTGAGTTATAAGCTTGTACATATCAGGTACTTTAAAATATATTCTCTATATAAGTACCAGATACTTACTGTGCCCTTGGCAAGTTGTTGCTCAGCGGCGAATACCATTCCACCGCATCGCGGACAACCTTGTCCCTTAGGCGCCTTGATTGATGTTGTGTCGGAATTGTAGAATGGACGGTTAGAAGAGATCTCGTCCTCACTAAAAGTTTTTATCATTAAAACCTGTCCTTAAAACTTTAAAACAGACTAATTCTAGGTAAACGTATTCGTAGATAGTTTGGAAAATCCAAAAGTGCACGCCTCATAGCGGTCATTCACATTTAAATAAAAATAAAAATCATTCGTTTACATTTTTTTTTTTTTTTACTTCTTACTACTTACTTAATATAATAAAAAAATATATAGTGGCGCCATAACTCTAAGGTGAGGAAAAAAAATATACTAAAATAAATGTATATATAGATATACAAATACACAGTCGTATTTTAGTTTTTTACAAATTATAATTAAACGACAGTACTTAGAACGCTAATATTAACTAGGAATCAGCCCAGAGTATAACTTTATATAATAAGAAAAAAAGTATTCTGGTGCGATAAATTTTTCGACCAATTTCTCTGCCACATACATGGATCCATAAACACAGACTGACGGACGTCCAAGAATGATTGATTTTAATGTTATTATTTACTATGTTAAACAAAATAATTGTTCATAAAAAATACTATATGTGCTTGATAGATTATTTAACTCGATTTTAGTGCACTCATATTATCCAGTAAGTGTTATATTAGTGAGAAAAAAGTCATTCAAGTTTCGAAAGACTGGGTTTTTTGACATGTCGAGAGTAGAGCACTGCGAGGCGTGAAATACAAAATTGCGTGGTAATACGCTGATCATTAAAAATTAAGCAAGGATATTTGCCCCGTTCAACTTAAGTACATACATAGTACTGAACGAGTAAATACCGTTCATATTAGCAGTTTTTATAATTTAAAGAAGCATAAAGCTTAAGGATGGACCACTTAACTTTAAACTGCGAACTTAAATATCTTATAACGGCTGTAGAACATTCCTACTTTACTACAGAAGTACTCACGTCAAACCGTCGGTCTGAAGGAAGCCGGATCCACAAGCGAATCCATAACCGTGAGGTCCCCATTTCTTGCCATAACAAGTTTTGCAGTAAACATCATTGTCTGGACCATCGCATGCGATTATCGAGTCAAGCGTCTTTGTACAGTCGCGGCATTTGAAGCATTTGCGATGCCATTCACGACCCTTGGCCAGAACTTGCTCCGCGGCGTAGACAGCGCCACCACATCGGGGGCATCCCTTGCCAGGAGGTGCTTGGATCGCTGCGGTGTCGATCACCGTGGTTCTGGGTGCATGGTCCCTAATGAAGATAGAAAGAAGAAATCCCTTAAAGTTGTTTTTCTATAAAATGAATTGTGTAACGTGTAGAGTATCTGATGTTTTAGATATGCCTGGCCACATATTTCAAAAGAGGATTAAGGAAATCCATTGCCAATAATAAACAAAATGCACTAATAATAAATAAAACACGTAAATATAGTCGATATTATATTTATTATATTACCTTCTTTGGAACGTTAATAATGATTTCAAGATACGGGTCTTAACAAAAACATGTGTGTTCTACGTCCTAATACTACAGAGTATCTAATTGTAGACTATTCACCTATAGGAAGATTACACTTGCGCTAAAATACTCTTACATAACATGACGAAACCAAAGTGTGTGACCTAATAATAAAGAAAATATGTGGACATCAGATTAAATATGTTGTAAGCGTGGCGAGATCTATATTAAAATTAGTCGGTTCGAGAACGGACGTTCTATTTTCATGTTGGCACGACGCCAGCTCTTGTTTGTATTATAAGTTGTTTTTATGAAACTCACGATGGAAATATCCGAAACCTGTCTGTAACCTGAGAATGGATAAGTTTAGACTTGTTGCTAATCGCTGATGATATGCGGCTTTTGTCCTTTTGGCAAACCTAGCTTCTTATATACACTATCGGCTATTTGCTGAAGCTCAATTTTGGACTTAGGTAAACTCTTTCTAGAGTCCCGAAAACGGTGATAATATATTTGAATTACAAAATTGTATGTTGTTTAATAATTTCATTGGATATGTTATATTTTAATTAGATAGAATCGTAGGATTAAAATATGTTTAATTTTGTATTATTGTTATAAATATAGCTTAGTTTGCTTTTCCTTTCGATTTAACCAGATATTACTATGTGAATAAATACTTCTACACCGATTACTTGGAAGATATAAGACCGTTGCGTGCTTAAAATAATTATCTTTATAAACTATAAGTACTTTCACATCTATGTTAAATGTATTAAAGTGTCTGTGAAATTAATATAACTCATTTGCTCACCCGTTCGCGTAAGGGTCGCTTTGAAGGACACCTGCGCCCTTGCCATAACCGTACCCCTTAGGTCCAAACTTCTTTCCATAGCACACTGAAAAACAAACACTATTATAACCAGATACCTCTCACATAACTCTTCATTCACATGTAAGTGTTAACAAAACTTAGATTAAATTAGTTGAAGGAATCATACATGAAGTCACACGAGACCAACCTTTGCAGTAAATATCTTTGTCGGGACCCTCGCAACAGTTTGTGGAGTCCAGCCGCTTCAAGCAATCAGCACACTTGAAACACTCCTTGTGCCACGCCTGGACAAACAGTGAACATAGTAAGGGTAAATAGGACATGCAGGCTTCACAAAACAGGTGTTAGGGCAATGTTTGCGGTTAATGCCACAGGGTAAGGGGATAAACTAAACCTCATTCAAATATGTGACTTATTTACCTCGACAGTAAATCTCTTTGTCTGGCCCGTCACAATGGATCATTGAATCAAGGTTCTTGTGGCATGTTAAGCAATTGAAGCATTTTTTGTGATAAGCCTAGGATGAAATGATGATTATTACATGATTTACTCGATATTTATGATAATTAAATCTTAATGCCATGTTAAAATGATTGAGAAGAATTCGATTCTTGAAGGTATGAAGCTTACCTTTCCACGAGCCAACTGCTGCTCTGCAGCATAAACGTAACCGCCGCATCGTGGGCAACCCTCTCCAGGTGGAGCTTTAGCAATTACACGTGGTTCCATACACGCTCCATTGGTCCGCAATCCATTTCTGTATTCACAAGTTTTTGATCATTTAGGGATTGTAAATGCAAAACATCAGAGCAAAGATGAAGAAGAAATGTTAAATAGGCTATGGACCCCAGAGCTCTCCAGCGGCCCCTACATTCAACTTTAATAAATCAAACGAATGGCGGCGAAGCAGATGATTTCGGCGGCGCACCTCCGCCGTAATGGGAGAAGGTAAAGTGCTCCCGGCCGCCCGCTCCGCTATGGCCCCAGCCGGCCACTTTTCAAAAAACAACTTTTAACGATTTAGAGGGCGCTTTCCTTATCCCATCACATACATTGATCAGTTTGAATACAAATAAGCGTTAGCAGTTGTTACTGTGTGTCAGTTTTAGCAAGAAATTAAAAAGACAGAGTTTTCTAGCATGCTCTACTGGTGCGTCACGAGCGTTGCGATGTCGTGCTGAGGCGTTACATATTGGTTTTCTCACCGTTGTTCCAGTGTGTTGGGGTCGCCTCGATAGAGGGAGGGATGGGTTCGAATGGGAACGCGCCCTTGTTGGCGAGAGCCCTTCATGGGTCGGTTAGGACCGGCGCCAGGCACGGCCGCGCTCCCACCCGATTCGAGCAATACACAGAATTGGTAGTCGACTTTTTATTTTTTTTCTCTTATAAATTTAAAATAGACCGATTAACAAAATAAATTAAGCGATAGCGAATAAATAATCCTAACTAAATTTAAAGTACATAATGATGTTGACAACGCGCCGCCGGTGAACCGAGATGTGTGTCGGTGCCCGCCAGCGCTGCTGGAACTCTGCTCGCGCTCAATTCCTGTTGCGACATAAACGAAGACTGGTCATGCACATGTCAGGCGCAGAATGTACAGCCGAGCGCGCTTCTACTTATGAGTTTATGTACACGCGGTTAATGTTGTTACGTACGGGCCAAGAGGCCGGTCGGCTTGCGACCTTTGATAAGGAAAGACCCTCAGTGGCGCGGGCGGCGGGAGTTTGAATGAAGATTCTACTTACGCATTCTCGCCCTTAAGATGTTCACCGGAGTCCATCGACAGGCAGCCAGCGCCGCCGCCAAATCCGTAACCTTTAGGTCCGAACTTACGCGCGTGGCACATTTTGCAGAAAAGTTCACCTTCGTGTTCTGAGCAGTTAGTAGAGTCGAGAAGCTTCTGGCAGAGACCTATGTAAAGCATTACAGTATGTTATATGTTTTGTTATAGGAGTCTCTTCATATATATAATTATTCATATATTATAAATTCATGGCTATATTATTCGAGTAAATATTGACTTTGATTGTAGCTATAGGTTGAGCTACTCGTTATTAAATATTTCAAAGTTAAAACTTAAAAACCCAGGTATACAGGAAATTTCTTTTTTGTTCCGAGAATTAAACTCGTATCTTGAAATTATTAATCTCTCTACATCTTGAGGATGTTAATAGTCTAGGTAGAATAGGTAAAAAGGTTTGTGGAATATCTGTTTAGTAAAAATATTGAATTTGAGTCTACTATGTTCAAAGTACTTTTTATCCTCTTCGAAACTTCCTATGTATATCCAATTTACATACAAATTTCTTGTCTTATTCTTTGTTTGAGTATAATTAATTTAAAGAACTATCAAACAGACATATTTCAAATGAAACAGTAAGCCTTAAAGACGGCAATATACAATATCAAAGTTATTAATATATTTGGTTAAACTTACCGCATTTGAAGCACATTTTGTGCCATTTGAGTCCGCCGGCGACACGCTCTTCTGCCGCATATACGGACTTGCCGCATTTTGGACACTTGGGGTTATCTGCTGGTTTGAAAGGCATTGTGCTCGCTTAACTTATCCTGAAAAACCAAAATTACAATTATCCCTCTGACAAATTACTGAAAACAATTGAACAAAGATTTTAATTTTTGCATAAAATAGTGAACTGGAACATTACAAAATCAAATCCAAATAATGCAATGTTCATTGGCTTATATCCAATACGTTATCGAACACTATTTCAACACAAATTGCATGCAAATTGCGGGCGGGCTCCTTCCGAATGCATTTACACGTGAAACATAAGGCGGGCGGCGCGTGGGCGGTTACTCCAACGCGCCTAATTTGGGGCGTCCAGGTAATGCTGGAGAGCACTTATTTATAGCATTAGGAAGAAGCCACAATCACTCGCGATATGGTTTATCACTTTCACCGGAGGACGGACCTGTTCGTCGTGTCGCAACGAGAGTAAACTCCCGAACGCGTATACAGTGCAAGGCGCTTGCCGAGTCTACTGTGCGCGGAGGTCGAATGATGCGCGAGGGCAGGGTGCCACCGTAGTCTATGCCAGTTGCACACGGCCCCAGTGGTGGGGCGGCGGTGATCCGCCCTCACAAACACTCATCACCCCTATGTTTCATATTACCCCTGACAATTTGATTCTAAGGTCTGACCACTGACTTCATAAGACAACTAACTGATTAGACTTTAGAAGAAAGATTCTTTGACACATAAGAAAGTGGATATAGTAAAAAAAAAATTTAATTTTGTTAGACTGGGTTTGTGAGATCTCATTTACGAACATTCACATTGTCTTTATAATAATTATAACATACTGTATTTGTTATTTAAGAAATTAATTTTAGTTAACCTTTTTGTCTGTTTTCTTTTTATTTTAACTGTTTCATGTCTGTGTTTAAATGTGCATGCTATGAAAATTAAGAGTTGACCTAAAGGTTGTAAATGCCAGGTCATAAAATCCAAAAAAATATTAAATGAGCATTATATAACTATAAATATCAAGAAATTGTTTATAAGATACTAAGTTCATTTGGAGCGGAAGTTAAAAATTATCAGTGCCCTAATTCAGCAGTTAGCTGATTTGAATAATTTACGATTTGCAACGGACGTCTCTGAGTACGGCTGCCCTGTATTATATTAATCTACGGTTCTCTATAAGAAAGTATCGTTAACACTAAGGAATAACTAATAAATTGTCTAAAGAAACTTTCTCAAGCGTAATTGTGGTTAAAGGTACGTTTTGGACGATAACATCGGGTCTCCTAATAATTTAAGTTTATAGGTAACGAAATGCTTAATAAACAATTGATATTCATGTTTACTTCCTTATTACTTTCACTCAACAAACTCAGTCAATGGTGTTCCTAACATTGTTTTTTGTCTTTTAAGGAACTGTGTGAATTTTCTCAAAAATTTTATACGATTTTTTCGTGCATACAGACAGACTACATACTACATTTTCGTTCCACATCTGAGGATTCTTAAGGCAATTTCTGCCGCGTACCACCACTATGTGGAACCAGCTGCCCACTGAAGTATTTCCGAACCAATTCTACTTAGGGTCTTTCAAGAAAAGAACGTACCAATTTTTAAAAGGCAGTGCGCTTACGAGCCTTCTGGCAGTGAAAGCGTCCATGGGTGGCGGAATCACTTAACATCAGGTCAGCCTACTGCCCGTCTGCCTCATGTGTTATAAAAAAAAATACTTCGGCGGTCAATAGTTGGAATTCCATCGAAACTTTAACTGCTGCAAAAATGTATCTGCACCATGCCTCCATGGGATTTTGGACTTTTAACACGTATGAAGTCATAATGCTTGTAATTTAAGCTAGAACTTAATGAATTAAAAATGTCTTCAGTGTGAGTGAAACTTTTTATACACGCGAAATTTTACATTTACATAATTCCATGTTTTGAGTGCAGTTCTCTGAGAAAGACTTCATATAGACTATTAGACTTAATGAAGGCTGATTAAAGCCTGCTGGGCATACCGATGTATCGCCCTGCGCCCTGCCTTAAAGCCTCCAAAAACGGGCACGAACCCCTATGTCTGTTTTTCTTGTACAACAATGTTTTTTTATACTGGGTAGGTACGGGTCAAATGTTTCCTGACGAACATTAAAACTTGTGAAGTTTTTTTTTTATAATAGGGGGGGCAAACGAGCTTGCGGGACGACCAAAAAGGGCAGTCTACGCAGCCCATATACACCCATTTTTAGTGGTAGCGCTGCCGGCCTTTCAAAGTAGGTTCTATTTATACAAACGTGTTGCGCCATGACCTATACCACCTCTTTCAATTAATTATATTGGGTAAAACAACGTGTCGTGTTTAAAAAATCATGGCTTCGCAACGTTAGGGACGGGTATTGCGACTGCGGAAGTCAAAATCAAAATCTTTTATTCATATAGGTAACACAATGTACACTTATGAACGTCAAAACAGAAATATATATTAAATGCTTCCAATTTTACATTCAGTGCCAGTTCTCAAATCAAGGGCGTAGAACGGAAAAGAAGAACTGGCAACAAACTCTCCGCCACTATTTTTTAATCGCCAAGTTTTTTGTGTTAGACAATGTTTGTAAGGAGCTGCAACCATTACGCCATGTACCACATTTTAAGGAAGGGTTGCTGCATCTGGCACAGGACAAGACACGCTTCACGAAACCAAAAGAAGATACCCATGACTGTCCGTCATAAATTATTTCCGGGGGCGGGAAAATTGCAATGAAAATAGATAATACTAATGAGTCACAGAACAAAAACAGTTACTTAGAACAAAAATAAATCTGACATGACCATTGAGTCATAACTTTGGCAATATTACATTGTTATTTCTCAGACAGTATAAGGAATATAGATATATATTATATTACTCGGACTATTAGTCCAGTCATACATCACCTTTGCCAAGTACACCGCACCTGCCTATCTATTAATATTTTAAAAACTAAAATAAACACCACTTGCAATTTGGATGTTTTCAAATGTTAAATGTTCATTAAACGTTTGCACTAGATTTCGTTATTTATTTATTATTATCAGTAATCAGTATAAAAGAATATATAAGTATGTACTGCTCAGGAGGATGGTTATATATAATATAAGATATAATCATTACATTATCTTATATATATGCTTATATATAAGATAATGTAATGATTACAGTAACAAAAGATTTAAATTTTGATTCAAGATTTAGATTTTTAGTGCCTGCATCTGGTTATACTCTCAGAGCGTATCTCCGACGATTTAAGCAATCGCTTTTGGTTTAAATGCCACAATGTAGGACAGGAAAGTTGCTACAGGTTTATAGAATTGAAGGCTTTAGAGGTGTTTCAATAAAGCGGTGTTAACCTCAAAATACATATGCATCCTACCAATTCTTACATACGGCTGTCAAACATGGGCACTTACCAAAGCACAATGTGAAAGATTAAGTGTAACCCAGAGAGCCATGGAAAGAAGCATAATAAAGAAAAGAAGAATTGACAAAATTAGTAACAAGAATTTAAGAGATAAAGCAGGGTTTGCTGACGTAGTGTATAAAACAAATGTACTAAAATGGAAATGGGCTGGACATACCATAAGAGGAGCAGATAAATGGAGCAAAATTATAACACTATGGCAACCAAGAGGCCATAAAAGAAACAGAGGTAGGCAATTTAAAAGGTGGGCCGATGAAATCATGGAAATGGCTGGAAAGACTAAGACCTGGACGAGATTGGTATACAATAAATACAATAAGGAAAAATGGAGGACAATGGGGGAGGCCTTTGCCCGTAGGCACACAGAATCAGTTATCGTAGATTAAGAAAAATATATATAGTAATAACCTATTGACTATTAATAACATATATATATATATATAAATTATAGTAATAACCTATTGCTTAATAGTTCTTGGTGTCTAATTTCTGCATGTGTTTTATTAATCATTTTTACAGGAAATCCTTCTGATATTCACGATTTGGGCCTTATGATGATGAAAATGATATGATTGAAGTGATTTTATTTTCCGTGCGGATTAATAATAAGTACATAATTGGTGCTCATTGCCATTTGTTCAAACGCTCGCCTAATTTTGAGGTTTTTTATTTATTTATTCATTTACAGCCTTATATCAGCAATACTATATACGTTATAACTATTATTTTTCTTATTCAATGATATATAACAAGCTGACCCGGCAAACGTTGTTTTGCCATGTATATTATTCCTAGGAAACATTTTTAGTTCAATAAAAATAACTATCTACCATAATAAAAATAGGGGTTGATCATAGAGGAATGAAAATTAGGGGTTGTATGTGTTTTTGTATCCTGTATCATAAAAAAAATAAAAACAAAAAATTTTGCCTTAAAGATAAAAATTTAGTGGTGGGACCACCCTTACATTTAGGAGGATGAAAAATAGATTTTGTATTTCTCAGATTTACTGAATATGCATAAAAAATTTCATAGGAATCGGTCGAGCCCTTTCGGAGGAGTATGGGAACGAACATTGTGACACAAGAATTATATATATTAGATAATAAACCTAAGTACAATAAATTATTATTTTAATTAATTAATTAAATATTCTTATGTATTATTTCACCAAGTTTCTTCTTCAAAACTGTTCACTGTAATAAGAAAAGTGCTGGACCGAAACCGGTGGAAACAGATAGTCCGCTCCAAACGTTTTCTTGCTGATCACCACACTCAGACATGAACTACCGAAGGGCGGGGTAAATTATATTCAGTAAATTGCTTGAATTGAATTGTCAAATCCCGTTTAATTAGAAATAATATAAAAATCGTTTATATTACGTAAATTCATATTAGAAGATTACCCTTATTTCTAATTAAATCAGTTATTAATCGTTATAAAAACATTTATTTATTTTTACATTTTATACTTAAACAAGCCTATATATACATAAGTACATTTATTGGCTGATCATGGCCAATTTCCTTTTACATATACATCATACTATGTCCACCTAGTATACATCATACTATGTCCATACATGCAGAGTAATTGTGCAATCAGACGACA